TGGAGGACCTTGCACTTGGCGTGGTTGAAGTTCTTGAGGTTCACATGGGCCCACTCCTCCAGCTTGTCCAGGTCCCTCTGGATGCCACCCCTTCCCAGGTAGATGACATTTGTAGTTCTTCTGTTGTCCACTGATGCAGTCACTCCATTGTAAAAGACCACCAGCTTAGTCAGGCACAACTTGCCCTTGGTGAAGCCGTGTTGGCTGTCTCTCATCACCTCCCTGTCATACATATGTTTTGACACATCTTCCAGGAGGATCTGCCCCATGACCTTACCAGGTGTGGAGGTGAGGCTGAGTGGTCAGTAGCTCCCAGCTTGGGGCTGGAACAGTCTTTCTAGCCAATCTCCTCCCTGGTAGTTTTTAAAACAGGTTTAATTTTTATTACTTTAAGGCCATGAAACGCTATGGAAAATGTTTCAACCAATTCCGTAGATCCCTAGGAAGGATTCCTTATGGTTTGCTCCCAGCGATCAGGTAGCTTGTGGGGCTGCCAAGCCTGTGCTTCCTCTTTGCATTTGCCTTTAAAAAATACCCTACATTTTGTAAATTTAAGTGCCAAGATAAACGGGCACATCAATGGTAACCTGCGAGAGACAGAAGAAAATTTTTAAGGCAAGAAAGGTGTATAATTTCCTTGGAAGAACTGTGGTCAGGATTTTCTTTAATTTTTTATTGAAAGAGCTAACTCTTTGCCAAAAAGATCCTTCTTCACAGCTTTGTCAGGTAACTCAGTTATGAATTATTTTGAAATTGTACTTTATTACATTGGTTGGTTGGTGTCAGTAAAGAATTGCAGGTCGCAAAGAGGTGAAGGTTTATTAATCTGAACAACAAGTGAGTGAGGAAGCTTCGACGGCTGAGAACTGTAGTGTGTGCGAAGTCACCGTCACAGTGGTGCTCAGGTGTGCTGCGGTGGGCGGGTGTCAGTCGCCTGCAGTTAACTGTGAAGGGTGGAGGTCTGGTGCCTGCCTGCTGCTGTCCTCCTGCTTGCTGCTGGCGGGTTTGGAGACTTTTTCCCTTCTCCTTTATTGACAGTGGTGAACGGCAATGCTGAGTGTTTGGCTGCAGGCAGGAGTGCGGCCCCCCCCCCCCCGCGCCCCGGGGGGCCACCGGATTCCGCCTTGGGGCCCGGCTCCTTGT